AAGGGCATATATGCAAAGCCAAAGGCCAATATTGTTATTAATGAAGAAAGACTCAAAGCACTCCTCTTATGAACGAGAACGTGACAGAGATGCCCTCTATCACCACTTCTATTTAACATTATATTGGAAGTCCTAGCCAGGACAATAAGGCAAGAAAGTGAAATAAAAGGTGTCCAAATTGGCAAAGAGTAACTAAAGATATCTCTACTTGTGGATGATATGATCCTATACATAGAAAACCCAAAAGACTCAGCAAAAAAAACAACTGGAACTAATAGAGAGGTTCAGCAAAATGACAGGATCCAAGGTCAACATATAAAAATCACTTGGATTCCTCTACAGCAACAAAGAGACCTCTGAAAAGGAAATAAGGGAAACAATACTATTTACAATAGCTACTAAAAAGATAAAATATCTAGGAATAAATCTTACCAGAGACACAAAAGACCTATACAAAGAAAACTATAAAACACTACTACAGGAGACAACAAGGGCTCTACATAAATGGAAGAACCTGCCTTGTTCATGGATAGGTAGACTGAATATTTTGAAAATGTCAATACTATCTAAAGCAATCTACACATTCAATGCAATCCCAATCCAGATACCAAAAAAATTTTTTAAGGACATGGAAAAACCAATTATTAACTTCATATGGAAATAAAAAAGACCTCAGATAAGCAGAGCACTATTGAAGAAGAACAAAGTGGGAGGTCACATGCTCCTGGGTCTTAAAACCTACTATACAGTCACAGTAGTCAAAACACCATGGTATTGGTACAATGATAAATCAATCAATGGAAATGGAACAGAATTGAAAACCCAGAAACAGTCCTATCCATCTATGGACAGCTGAGCTTTGACAAAAGACTAAAACCAATTAAATGGGGAAGGGACAACCTCTTTAACAAATGGTGCTGGAAAAATTGGATATCTACCAGCAGAAAAATAAAACAAGACCCATACCTCACCCCATACACAAAAACAAACTCAAGCTGGACCAAACACTTAAATGTAAAACTCAAAACTATAAAATTAATCAAAGATAAAATAGGAGTAAATCTAGAAGCCATAATTTATGGTATAAGTAGACTATTAAACATAACCTAGAATGCACAGGAGATTGAAGAGAAGCTAGATAACTGGAACATTTTAAAAATTAAATTCTTATGTGCATCAAAAGACTTCCTCAAAAGGGTGAAAAGAGAACTTACAGATTGGGAGAAAATATTTGCCTACGACATATCTGACAAAGGACTTATCTCCAAAATCTACAGAAAACTTCAACACATCAACACCAAAAAGACAAATAATCTAATTCAAAAATTGGCAAGGAACATGAATAGACACTTCACTAAAGATGATATGGTGGTGGCCAACAAACACATGAGGAAATGCTTGCAATCTTTAGTCGTTAGAGTGATGCAAATCAAAACAATGATGAGATATCATCTCACCCCAGCAATAATAGCAAAGTTCAACAGGATAGAAAATAGCAAATGCTGGTGAGGTTATGGAGAGATTGGAACTTTTGTGCACTGCCGGTGGAATTGTAAAATGGTACAACCATTGTGATAAACAGTATGGCATTTCCTTAAAATGCTGAAAATAGAAATACCATTTGACCCAGCAATTCCATTACTAGGAATATATCTTAAAGTAAGTGAGAGGTAGGGCACAAACAGACATATGCACACCTATGTTCATTGCAGCACAGTTCAGTATAGCAGAGATGAAAACAAGCTAAAGGCCCATCAACAGATGAGTGGTTAACCAAATTATGGTACATTCACACAATGGCATATTATGCTACACTGAAGAACAATGAAGGATATGTGAATCATCTCACAATGTGGATGGGCCTGGAGGACACTATGCTGAGTGAAATAAGTCAGTCACAGAAGGAAAAATATTGTATGAGCCCATTCCTGTAAAAAGACAAGGAATGGTATGCTTAAGGGAAGGAGCTTACTTTGTAGGTTACCAGGGTGGGGAGGAAAAGAGAGGGAATAATTTTGGGCTAGTTTGGAGCTGAGGTGGCCAAGGGGAGGGATGGTATGGAAAGTGTCTGTGACCACCATGACAACGTTGGGGAAAGGGAGGACACCGAATTGTGCACATAAGCTATAGACGACAGAGACTAATATCAGTATATCTACAATACTGCATTACCATTAACTCCAAACACTAGGCTACAGATAAAAACATAAACATCCAAGAAGATCAGATGTGGTTCACTGAACAGGATTATACTCTTGACCAAGGATAGATTCAGCTGAGGCTAATCTTGCACAGATACCAGTGATACAATATACCTGCAATGTTTGCAGAAACAACAGAAGACAGATATAGAGCAATCCCTCACATACAGCCAGACACTGTGGGAGAGAGGTCCAATGGATCTACCGACTCAGGAAAGTAGTATTGGGGAAAACCAGATTCAATTGGCACAACAAAATACACAAAAATCTTGCTCTACAACCTACAATGTGAGTAGTGACTGAGGTCCTAAAAGCTTTCAAGGAGCCATTTAAGATGGAGCTAATGGTCTCCTATCATTGCAAGTGAAGAAGAGTGCAAAAAAACAAGGGCATTTGGAAGCAATCAGCCCTAGAACATGATGGACCTTGAGACCAGAAGCATTAGTGGCTACCAATGCCAGCCACTCAGGAAAGGATCAAAACTGGAGATCCTGGATAGAGTGGGAGGAAAAATGTGGAACAAAATCCAAAAACACAATAATGACCAGAATTACTGATTAGAAGGAGTCTGATGGGACCCCCAATACTATGGCCCTGGGCCTGGAATAAAACTCACTCTCAGGGGCTGGCTCTCAGCCCAATAATAAACAAGATGTACATGCAGACCACTCAACCCAGGGTGACACATCCACGTACTCTATGGAGATGCATCCCTTGGAGCAAGCAATCACAGAGCACCAGAAGGGCAACATTCACATGGAAGAAATAGAGGACACACAGGAATGCATAACTATGAGGTGCATGGGAGGGGCCTTCCTGAGAAGGGAGGGGAGGAGAGTGGGTTAGGATTGGGAATGGTAATTGGGGAATGAAACCAAATGTACATGAAATGTTGACTGTAAAACAAACTCTGCTCTGTAAATATAATAATAATAATACAGTCTGTAATTAATAATAATAAAAGAAAAAATTAAAAAGAAGCTTTCAAGGAATAGAATAGATTCCGATGCAAATATAACTCATACCAACCTAAACTGTGTTGGCCTTCAATCAGAAGCTATACCAAAAAAACAAACAAAAACTTACTTCCATCGACTCATAGCGAAGCCCTCTAGGTTTGTGTGGAGTGGCTGATGGGTTTGAACTGCCAGCCGTTTGGTTAGCATTCAAATGCCTTTAGGCACTATGCCACCAGAGCTTCTTAATCAGAAGTTACAGGTTTATGCAAAGCTTTAAGAATGGGCAGTTTGCCTTAGATGCCATACTGGTGTTAGTTGCCATCAAGTTAGCTCTAAGTCATGGTGACCCTATGTCCAACAGAACAAAATGCCCAGTCCTGTGCCACCTTCATGATAGTTGGGACGCTTGGATCCATTGTTGCAGCCACTGTGACATTTGAGTGTCTTCCAACCTAAGATGCTTCCTTTCCAGCATTATACCAAACCAAACCAAACTCACTGCCGTGGAGTCAGATCCGACTCATAGCAACCCCTCCTTGGGTTTCTGAGATGGTATTACTATGGAAGTAGATTGCCCAATCTTCCTTCCAAGGAGTGGCTGGTGGGTTTGAACCTCCAGCTCTCTGGTTAGCAGTCAAATGCGTTAGACACTATGCTACCAGAGCTCCTGTCCAGCACTATAGGGGGCAATATTCTCTTGTGATTCATAGTGTTTTCATTGGCTAACTTTCAGAAGTAGATTGGCAGGCCTTTATTCCTAGTCTGTCTTAGTCCAGATGCTCCACTGAAACCTATCCACCTATCTTCTGTGAGTGACCCATGGTATTTGAAATAGCAGTGGCATAGTTTCTAGCATCATAGCAATAGGCAAGCCACCACAGTACCACAAACTGACAGATGGATGGTGGAAGTAGCATGTTACTTCCTTAAAAAAGGCTCTGCTTCTCTTTTTCCTGGCCTCAGAGACTTCATCGTACTGAGTGACTTGTCAGAGTACATTGCTTGCTCTGTCCCTCTGATTTTAAATCACTCCCTCAGCTAGGCTTTCTCTGTAAGTCCTGATGAGCACCTCCTTTTAATGAGGGAAGAGCATCTATTTCTCTCTCAGATAGAGGAGACACCATTTTGTGCATCTCCCTTGGGAGAGCACAGAGCTCCTTCACAGCAATCCTAACTCAGATTCTGGCTTCTCTGCATGTTATGTCAGCTCTAAACAAAACAAAACAAAAACAAACTCACTGCTGTCGAGTCGATTCCAACTCACAGTGACCCCTCCTTGGGTTTCTGAGGCGGTATCTCTACAAAGTAGATTGCCCAGTCTTCCTTCTGAGGAATGGCTGGCGGGCTTGAACTGCCAGCCTTCTGGTTAGCGGTCAAATGCCTTAGGCACTACACCAGCAGGGCTCCTTATTTCAGCTCTAGGCATTTTTATATATTTTTCTTCCTTGGGAGAGACCAGAATGTGTCCACCATTGTGTCTGCCTCTTTTCCACTGTGCTGTTAATTTGATTCTTCCCACCTCTGTGCAGCCAAGATATCTATATCATCACATTATTCTTTTAAGCAGACTATTTTATTTCCATTTTAGCTTAAATCCATTTCACTAAATACTGTACACATTATCATCCCCTAAACTACTTTACTCAATCAGTTTTAGCAAGCAAGGTCAAGGCCCATTGAGCTGGAAGCCCAGCCCTTGAATTGGCTTTCAACCAAAATAGCCAAACATCCTCCTACTTCCCAAATCAACATTGCTCCCAGAGGGATCAAGTTTTACGTCAGTGAAGAATGTATTAATTAAAGCTAATGAAAATGTCCTCATTTGTTGTAATGAATTTAGTTGTTACAGGCCATTTTCTACGGGGTCGCCTTCCTGGATGATGTGATGAAAAGAATTACAAGAAAAAAAGACATTAAGTTCGTAACTGCCTTCAGAGACCTGCTTTTCACCTCACTGGCTTTTCCTACATCCACAGTAAGTTACAGAGATGAATATGTAATATAACATGCATGTATTTATGCAGGGCACTTCTACTTGGTAGTAAGACTGTTTAGGAGTCCCTTATTGTAAATCAGAGCAGCTGTATTTAAATAAATGTCCTGTCTTAAGACTGCAGAGAATTGCCCAGTACCCGGAGGAAAGAGGCAAATAACTTACCAGTTCTGTCATTAGCTTTTGTATCTTTGCCACAACTTGACACAAGATCCTTACTCCTATTTAGAGGGAAAGTTTGAAGGACCATCGTCAAAATAAAACTGAGAAAACCTTGTTGCCATCAAGAGATGGGAATAGAGGGTCCTGGGGAGAGAGATGATTAATTTTCTCGTTTACACACTGTGCTTCACTTGCTACAATAAAGACTATCAAATGAAAAAATAAATATTTTAAAGGAACATATAATGAGAACCTTCAGTGTTGACATGTGGAAAAGACCACTGAGCAGAGATAAACAGACTGTCCATAATATCTGGTGCAGGGTGCACAGCAGATGCCTCATTCATTTTTTGAATGAATGGGCATCAGGAAGAAGCAAGATATTTACAAGGGGCAGTGAGCTTCTTTAGTGCTACTGTCCACATTTCTATGATATTGTTCGTGTTTTCATTCATTACCCAGAATGGAAACAGACTGAGCTCAGGCACTTTGGCTGCCTAGCAGGGCCTATAATTAGAAATGACTACCTTCTTCCACCTGTCATTGTCCTGCTTCCTACAGTACTGAGACTTCAAACTTAAATTCTAAATGCAACTCTCTGAATACTAATGAGGTCTCAGATGACAGAACGAGTCCTGGCATTCCAGTTGTATTTTGCCGAACACTCCACCGCCACCTCCAACCTTCAAAAGTCCAAGCCTTTATTAACAATGGAGTCTATTCCTTTTTAATGCTTAGAAAACTGAGCCTATGGAATTTAAGAAGATTAATAATTTTCTTCTATCTCTACATTGACTCTGTAGCATAGAGGACAGATGGCTTTGACAAGACAGCCAAGGCAAATAAGAGGATGGGGATCAAGCCAAAATTCTGAGCAATGGAGAGATCCAACTTTTAGTTAACTGGGTTGGGAACTATCCTGGGAGCTTGTCACTTCTCACCCTCTCTCCCAGTCTTCTCACTTCCCTTGTACATTCTTATTGAGAGTGTATGCAAGGCAAGTGTTAAGACTCAAGCCATACAGTGTGACCACTGTTGGCCTCCTGGTGAAAGCTTGAGAGAGAGTCAATGGTTGAAATGAAATAACTTACTGGTCTGTGAATCTTGTTATCTATGTCTTCTTTGCCATCCATGATGACAAATACAGTGAAACCTGTGAACTGGAACTCTGCAAGACTGCCCTGTTTTTCTGGGACTCACAAGTTTCCCTCCTTTGACAGGGTGCAGTCTTACCACTTTTCTATTGCTTGCTTTAGAGAAATATATTTTGAGTTTTCCTTTTCTGACAAGTTTCTGCTTTACACTGCTTCCAGCCTTCACAAATTTTCTGTAACTGATCTCTAAGTCTCTAGCTAAGGAATTCCCAGTGAGAGTGGATATAACATTTCTACCATAAGCATTTTTTTCTTCTTTATGCATTCTTCTAATGGATATACAATATTTCTTTAAAAGCAGTATCTGTTTTTACTTGGCTGTATATCCTTGGCTCTCTTAGAAAACTCAGATGAAAAACAACCCTAATAATGCTATTCTTGTGTTTGTTTTCCAGTGTGTCTTTTTGTTGTTCTGGGTCCTCTATCTGTACGACCGAGAACTCGTTTACCCTAAGGTCCTAGATGGCATCTTTCCAGAATGGTTGAATCATGCAATGGTGAGTGTTGGCAAACAGTAGTGAACATAGAAATCTAAAAGTCCCTGTTCTGAAAACTGTAAAGGGCTTCATTTATGTGTCCAAATTTCTTCTGAATCCCAACATCCCTTTCCCTTCTCCATTTTTTCTAACCTATCACTATTTATTTAAAGAGTACAAAATGAGTAAACACTGGTACTATAATTATGGAGAGGTCACTGAGAGCAGAGGGAATGTCTAGGCAAGACTCTCTGCCAGGTTACTTATGAAGTCATTGGAAAGACATTCAATTGTAGGGTGGTGGTTGAATATAATGAACGTGATTGTCATTGAACTGACACATACGAAGACTGTTGAAATGGCAAATGATTTGTTACCCATATATTTATCACAATTTAAAACAGACACACCAGAAAACCTTAATCAGCTCAAGATTTTGCAACTGAATTTAGGAGCCAAGGTATTCCTTCTTAATTTCCTTCCCATGCAAAGCCTGGGAACTACAAACTTGCTATTTAAAAAAAAAAAAAAATACTGCATCAAAATTAGGCTTTGCTTGTTTGTTTTTGCACAAGGTCTATTTGCAATTAATTTGAAAATAAAAACTTTTTTTTATATATAAAGAGAAAAGAAAAGACATGGAACCATAAAAGCAGACAACTTCTTGGTGGCAGCAGACTTGAAAGAAAATTAACTTCACCAAGTAACATATAACAAAATTCCAACTGCTAGATATGAAATACAAAAAGCTTAAAAAAAAAAGAAAAAGAAATCTACCCCAACATCCAAAGACTATCTCACAGCTCAGCAGTGGCTTCTTAGCTAACACTTCATCAGGACAATACATCTCAAATGGAATTATGACTTACATATTTCCATAACTACATTTTCACTTGCTTTTTTATTTCCTCGTTTGTTTTTGATGGGCTGAATAGTTAACAGAACTTGTCCTGAGCTATTCAAGTCATTGATACTTGATTACCAGTAACAGTGACCTGGACAAGCAGGGTGGAACAAGGTCACCCTTGTCTTTGACAGATGACAAAGTCTGGGTTACTGCAGTCACATGGAGTAAGTAATTGTTCAAAGTCCTAGCTCACCTTCTCAACATATACAAGTGTATTTCCACTTGAGTATGGGACTAATGAAGAGGTCTCATTTCTAAGAAGAAATTGACATTACTGAAAAAAATAAACAGGAGGAAATCACAAAGGAATAGAGTATCAAAGTTCTTCAAAATCACAGAGTAGTTCTGGTTGTACAGTAGTTAAAACATTTGGTGGCTAACCAAAAGGTCAACAGTTCAAACCCACCAGAAGCTCTACAGGAGAACAATGAGGCAGTCTGCTTCTATAAAGATTTATAACCTTTAAAGCCCTATGGAGCAGTTCTGCTCTGTCCTATAGGGTTGCTATGAGTTGGAACTGACAACTGACTGAATGCCAGGTTTTTTTTTTTTTTTTTTTTCGGTTCAAGTTCACAGACTTTCTTAAACCCCCAACCATGCCATGGTCTTAAAATATATGCAACTACCAATCTGTAAAAACTACTCATTCCACTAACTCCATGCTCCTTACTATGAACTCCCCCAACAACAAAGAATAAAATTTATTTTCAATTTTAATGTATGCTCAGCTAGATGCCAATTATAGGTTGATTAATACACCCAAGTTCTGATCTTATTCAGAGTTTAGTTTCAAAAACTGTATAATCAATCTCAGCTCTCTGGGATCCCTCTCCTACCACCTTCCTCTGATCAAAGAACCCAATTTCCCAATTTAATCAGAGATACCTATGTATGGAATATTCCTGATTTTTTATAGCCTTTTTCACAGCATGTTTGTCAAGAATAAGCTCATGCAAAACCCACAAGTGTCTTTAGATAGCTCTAACATACAACAATTTGATTTTTACAAATGAAAAAAGTAAAAAAAGTGAGGTTAAGTGATTTCCCTGGGGTCATAGGGTTCATTCTGGTGGCACAGTGGTTAGGCACTCGGCTGCTAACTGTAAGGTCAGTGGTTACCACTCACCAGAACTCTATGGAAGAAAAGATCTGGTGATCTGATCCTGTAATGATCTCCGGCTAGGAAACTATAGGGCAGTTCTACTCTGTTGTGCAGGCTCACTGAGTCAGAACCAACATGACAGCATACAGTAGATCTCATAAGTGGCACAGCTAGGTTTTAAGTCCAAGGAAATTGATTCCTTGTTGTAAGTACAGAACTTGTGGTTTGATCTGGCTTTGTAATTCACCAAGCAAATCAAAAAGATGTCACTTTGCTGGATTAAAGTAGAGAAGTAAGAATTCTCACCTTAAAGAATCCCCATCTGTATGCTAATAAGCCAAAACTCGACTTAAGAAACTGAAGTGATTTGAAACAAGTGACTGAGCTGGATGTTACTAACATAAAAAGGCGCAATCTTGAAAGTGTCTTTTATTTGGACACAGACGTGTACATCAAACACCCTTTCCAGGCTTTTGTGAGGTCATCTAGTAGTTTTCTGACAACTAAGCTTGCCATTTCTTTAGAGCTCCATTTTCCACATTGTAGGGAGGTTGGATTTCCTCCAAATAGATATGAGGATGGCACCCAGCATTGTGACCTTGTTAAATAGCCATATGGATTTTTAAAATAATTTTGGAAGCAGATAAATGGCTAATGTGCATTATACTCGTGAGCTAATTAGCAAGGCGGATACTGTACCATGCAGATCCTTAATTATTTTTGTGCCTTTACTACTTGGGGGCTTCTGTGAGCCATGCTTGTTGTTCCTTGGCTAATGGTGTAAGCTGAATCTATAAGAGAGAAGAGGCTAGAACCAGAAATGGAAGAGTGGTGACCAAGAGCAATGAAAAGGAAGCAGCATGCCTTGGACCAGACACAGTCCCCTCTGTGTTTCTATTAATTAAATTGGAGAAATTCACAAAAGAATCATGTCTAGAAAAATTTTGGTGTCAGCAAAACTAGCATTGGGTGTTTCTAATATGGTCATCTCCTAACTCCATGCTTACTTCTTGGTGTCCATTTCAAGCTCCAGTGTTCTCATGACTGTCTCTTGTCCTATCTCCTCTTTGGACATTCTCCATCCCCTCTTTAAATTCTTCTACAGTATTACCCCGAGGAATGCTCTCTGCTAAATTATTATTTATTTTTTATGGTCACAAGGGTTTTTAAAATTTAAATATTTGTACGTAGCTTGTTTTTAGTTTACATTTTTATTATAGTAAAATATTCATAAAACTCACCAGGTTAACCATTTTTAAGTGTACATTTCAGTAGCATTAATTATATTTACAATTTTGTTGCAACTATCTATTTCCAGAACATTTTATCACTCCAAGCAGAGACTCTGTACCCATTAAACAATGACTCCTCATTTTCCCCAACTTCCAGCCCCTGGTAACTTTTATTCACCTTTATGTCTCTATGAATTTGCCTGTTCTAGATACATTGTATGAGTGACATTATATACTATTTGTCCTTATTTCACTCAGCATAATGTTGTCAAGGTCCTCCATGCTGTGGCTTGTGTAAGAACTTCATCCCTTTCTATGGCTGAATAATTATTGCATGTATGTACCACATTTTGCTTATCCATTCATTTGTTGATGGACACCTGGGCTGTTTCCACATTTTGGCTATTGTGAATAGTGCTACAGTGAACATTGGTGTACACATTTCTGTTTGAGTCCCTGCTTTCAATTATTTGAGCATATACCTAGGAGTGGAATTACTAGCTTGTATGATAATTCTAAGGAGCTTTGGTTGTGTAATGCCTAGAGCACTTGACTGCTAACCAGAAGGCTGACGGTTCAAACCCACCAGCTACTCCTTGGAAGGAAGGTTGGGCAATCTACTTCTGTAGTGATAATGCCTCAGAAACCCAAGGAGGGGTCACTATGAGTCGGATCCAATTCCATGGCAGTGAGGGTTTTTTTTTTTTCATATAAGAATTATTACCTTACAGAACCAGCATCATGCTTTCCTCAAGTTTCCTTCATTTTACAACAGCCCTTATGCTTGTAATTCTAGACTTAGCTTTGAAATCTTTCCCATTGCCATTTGTGATGTTGCCCTGGGTTTTATGAATAGTATTTGTCAAATTAAGAAATAAGACTCTCCCTTTGGAGAAAGTAGTTCTAGAACTTCATGACTAATCCCAAGTCATTGGACTCCTCCCAGCACCACCCTTTAGCTCATTGGATACTTGTCATTGCAGTAGGCCATTCTAAGCTGAGTGTCATCTCTAATGGGCACTTTCCAGCTGTTGTTATGTATTCAGAACAAATAGTAACATCCATGCTGGTGAGATAGATGCATCAATCACAGGCAGACTATCTTGGCTGATGACCTCACAGCTTCATTTGGTACCTGGTTGTCTTATTTAAAGTAGATCACCCTAATAGTTTCATTGCTAAGCAGTTCTCTAGTCTTCATGAAAGAAGGGAAAGAATAGCAAAGTATTCCTCCAGGTTTTGCCAGGAAAACATTGACTCCTCTGGTTTTATCTAAATGACTGCTAAAGATAGAATCAGAGCACAGAGTTAAATAGCAGTAGAAGGACTTAAGCAACTGAAGAAACTATCAAATCATGACCTAAGGAGAACCATGAAATTTGTTTCTCTGGCCATCAACCCAATTGTTCAAGTTACCCCTGAAGAAGAAATGAAATGGATCACAGAAACTTCTGGAACCCCCTTTGCAAGCCCTTCTGAAAACAGTACACGATCCTTGAGAATGTGGGTGTGAGCACTCTATAATCTGTTAAGGATTGCAAAAATATAAGTTTGCAATGAAACTTAAGAATTCCCAGCCAATAGCTCTCATTCTTCTCTCCATATGTGAGCAGTTTTACAACTAAAAAGCTTCATTTGTGTTAATGCAAGTTTCAAAACAATCTGCTATTGGGAGACAGACCTCACCTTGGCTCTTCATATTGGGGAAGCTACCAAATACAGCTACTTAATATACTTAATTATTTCATGTGGTGTCATTTATTCACTTAAAAAAATATTA